TCTATGTCAAGCGAAATTTTCACCTAACACAGAGCGTTTGCGCACTCGATTGCTCTTTGGCTGGTATTTTTATCATATTATACATTCATTCCGAGTGCTTTATTAAGACCACGCTCAAATTTCAACAGATCCTTTCATTATTATTTGAGCGTGGTCTCAATAAAGCACTCGCAATAAAGATATAATATGATAAAAGTACCAGCCAAAGAGCAATCAAATGCGCAAACGCTCTGTGTTAGGAAATTATCGAAAGACGGCGGGTTCTGCCCGACTGACGAGTCTGTAAGGACGAAACACGTGTACCGGGCTATTTAAGAGCCCTTACCAGACCACATGACAAGTTGGCTCAAATAATAATGAAAAAAATTCTTGTTATATTGTTGTTGATTAACGCTTAAAAACGAAATTGATTTTTTGAAAGCGAGAGAACTTCACTTTGAAGAATAATTAATGCTGCTATCATTGTTAATTTGCGCGCAGAAACAAAACTTTCAAGAAAATTTCCTAAAACTTTTTGCTTAACATTAGGTACTTCTTTGATTCAACTGTTCTCCCACATTTTCTATTTACAAAAGTCTTCAGATTTGCATGTAGACCGATTACTTCTTGAAAATTGTATTTTATTGAGAATGTCAATAAATGGTGACTAGGTTGATATTCTCATAATCCTAGGAGTACAGCGCCTTACGTTTCCATAATCTTCACAATAGGCACTGAATAGCCCCTGTAGATCGTAGAGAAAAGTTCAGTTCTTCTCCTATTACACATATCCTACCAACTTCTTACTTCGTTTATGGAATTATAAGTAATCATTGCCAAAAACTATTTTGTTCGACGTTTCGCGTCTTCGTCTTCCTCATAGTCACACTGACTTGAGTCGAATGTCTATAGGCTCTCATTCTGACGACATGGGTTGTCTTCGTGGTCGAGTTTAATGTAGAGGAGTTGAGATGCTGGGTTGTCCCATAAAATCTTTCGCATTTTGATGCTTTTGTTAATTAAGTTGCTATCTGATTAACAACGAGTCCTTTTAATTCAACGCTTTTAGTGGTGGTGTGATGTTACAAATTTACCAACTAATACTGAGTGATGTGAAAGACTCCAACGTCAGACGAGATCAAACCAGCATTCCACTCTTTGCGCGGACGCGTGCTAAGCAATTGCACTACCAACGTCTGTTTTGCCACCATTCTTTCTGCGCAGTTGTCATTTATTGAATGAAATCAATTAGTAATATTCACCACCATGGGGAATGATATGCAGTTTTTGCTAGGCAGTGATTATATGCCTTCCACCCAAAAAGAATGAGGCTAGCGACTGAAGAAGTCCACGAAGTCACTTTCAAGCTGGTTTTGGTCTATGAATTTTTTCTCGCAGATGCTGCTTCTGCGGAAGACATGATAATCATGTGGATCAATATCGGCAGTGTGCGCTGGATGTGGTACCGTGGTCCGACCACATTTTCTTAAAAATGTGGCGAGTCGACTTTGCAATGTGAGGTGATCGGTCCATGCATGAGGCGTCCATCGAGACATCACTTTGCGGTAGGCTAACTCATTTAGATGATAAGCGATAGTGCTACACTCGTCTCCAAGTGTCCACCCGAGCCATTAGAACACTTGAACATTCTCCAACTTGCCACAGTCTTTTGGCAATAACTCTATCTGGAATGAAAAGAAATACTGGATAGAATATTAGTGTGAAAGAAATTATGGGACAGCCTATTAGTATCAGTATAAAATAATGAAGGAACGGAATCATATGGTAGATCACCATTTAGCAGAGCAAAACGCTAGTTCAGTCACATAAGACCCATTAAGCTAACACACCCACCGGACTGTGCCGGTTTGAACCGGTCATCTGGGATTATCTAACTCCCCTTTAGTTCAAAAAAGACTAGCGACTTCCAGTCGCAAAGACCGGCGAACACCCCAAGATGGTCACTCCAGCATTTAATTGAGAATAACCCGGCTAACTATCAAAGACATTCATAAAGAAGATTAAAAATCTGAGGTATGTGCTCAATTTAAGGCAGATATCCAATAAGCTCAACGAATAATCACAGTAGGACAGCGAATCCAGCAAAAAAGCTCTGTTAATGTGGTAGGACAGTATTCTACTCAAGTTTCTCAGACTCTTACTCTAGTTGTTGAGGGCAGTGCCGTTTCGCAAAACCGCCTCGAAAATCTGAAAAAACTAGGAAGACAAAAAGTGTAACTCCAGTTCACAACTTTCATAACGCTTTGCTTCCTTACTAAATGAGTTGTATTGGGCAGAGTCTTGAGAAGTCGGTACGCAAATATGACCGTTGCCTTCACTTTGATTATGAAGCTCATTTCTTTGAGAACCTAATGGCCAAAAAAATCTCTTTCCAACAACAAAATATGGCTCTACCCACGTTTCGACAGGGAGCATGGAGGTCGAGTGAGGAGTCTGTATAAATGCGCAACATATGGCTTGATATTTAATTGCTAAAGCATTAAGTACCTCTAGTGATCAATCGACGGTTTTAAAAGTTGAATTCCAATGTCGATATTTTTACAACAGTTTTTTTTTCGTGTCCGTGAATATCAAGAATGTGCAGGCCTGCCTCTGAGGTGCTGGTGGTGGCCGATTGGAATCGTCGGATTGGATTCTATGATCCCGAAGGAAATCCAGTTAAACGAGATGACATGTTGCTCAGCTATGATCCAACTTGCGTCGAATTCATACCTAACGGACGATTTCTTCTGATTGGTGGATCTGGACGGCAAGTTACGCTACACACCCGTCTTGGTGAGTTACAAGAAATCACTTTAGTTTGTAGTTCGATTTTTTTCCTGCTCAAGAAATGTTGAACAGAAAGCTCTAGTAAAATCTGAAATTTGAGTACGAGATATAATGTCATAGGAATTCCTAATCATTCTGTTTTCATGCCTCATTAAATCTGAGTGTTTTATTCATAATAAAACTATTCATTCAAAAACACGAATTACCACTGTGATTCACACAAGGATATAAAATATATATCATATATGAAATTATGTTTATGATTCTGATGCAGTTGAGCATTAATATAAACGCCATCAGGTCTTGGATATCTGAATTTCCATGAGAAATTGTCTGTCTACCATCTATAAATTTTCGTTGTATGGCTTGAATTTCCGTTTCTACATGATCTTACGCTCTTTTCTGATTATAAACTAACTTTGGAAACACTTGAAAATTTTCGAAAGGTCCAGGCGTGTTGTTCTCTTAAATACTCAAGGAGCGCTGGAATTAGATTTTTTGAATGTTCCTCAACATTTCTTGCTTCAGGCACCGAGATCGGTATCGTAGCGCAAATGGATACGTGGGTGTGGTGTGTACGGGTGCGTCCCGTCTCCAATCCTAGTACGGTAGTGGTCGGTTGTGTGGATGGTACTATCGCTTGCTACAATTTGATGTTTAGTACAATACATGGTTTGCACAAGGACCGATACGCTTTCAGGTACGATGGCTAAAACTTTTCTGATATTAGTTAGCAAAGCTGACTTTGTATGGAAATTCTTGTGTTACGAATATGTTATAATTTATATGTTTGACCATGGAAATGCGAAGATGCTTAAAAGATCCCTTTGATTTATCACAAGATTTAATAAGAGGGGCTCTCTGCATCTATCATACCTATCGTTTCGAGTGTTTTTTTGGGGTCTTGCTCAAAACAACATAGTCTGATACCATAATTCCTTATTTTCTACTTAAACCAGACACGAGGTGTTATAATAACCTTTGTTCAAACAGCTGACATTTCGGCAGCCTCTCCTTCTTCGGAGTCTGGAAAGATTAGATTGCACAATCCAACCAGTTAAGCACTCCATTACTCCTTTGAAAAATCACCAAACCCAGATTTCAATCGCTCTGATGGCATATTTTGAGCCTATTAATGAGACAGTTCAATACAGGTTTTCGACCCTTCAGCCTCATCAGTTGCATCAAGCTTAGAAATTTGATTATTCTCCAAATGTTTCCCCCATTCTCATTTCTATATTCCTTACTTTCTCAGTCTTTCATATTTCTTTTTCTTCTATTTTGCTCGATTCCTAATCCTCCATTGGTTTCAAAAGTTTTACATAATTTATGTGTTTCTCTGAAATTTTCTGTATATTTCATCGGGTCCTGTTTCCGTAGGGCGCATGTGGCGCAGTGGTTAGAGGTGCTCTGCGTCCCACACGAGGTCAATGGTTCGATCTCGCGCTCATGGCTCACCAAACCATCCATCCCCTCCGCGGTCGGTAAATTGGTACCAGACTGGTCTCAGACCAGTCTGAAAGGAAAAGCAGCACTGACTCAGTTCAGCGGGAGGCCACCGTGAATCATTGTAAAGGCCAGATATGCATTCAGTCACCTCAAACGAAGTTAGAATTGTAGACGGATGCATGGCGCATCCCTTAGGGATTGATCGACGTCGTGAGCTTCTTTATCCTGTTTCCGTAATCAGTTACCTCATTTCGTGGTACACGCACGATTACTAGCCATGAGCAATCGAGTGTTCAACGCTGCCCGTTCGGTGATTTTAACACTTAACGACGCGTGTAACCATTTTGTAACTGATTAGGGTAGAAGGCCGGAACACGTGTATTGCACTGCATAAGTGCCCATAAGAGACCACATGCTTGGCTCAGAAATAACTATCAGGCATACTGAAATTTGAGTTTGGTCTCACGAAACACTCGAAACTAAAGATGTGAAATGATGGTTCAGATGATGAAGTAGAATTTTTTTTATTCAACCACTTCTAGCGGTGATGTGATGTTATAAATATACCTTCTGATGAGCCCACATTTTACCTTATCCGGAAGCGCGTCTTGTTTATTTATAACATCATAGCACTGCTAGAAACTTAAATAAAAATGACTTTTGTTTTGTTATCTATTACTGCCAGCGTGACTGGGTTCAGTGTCAATATTGACTATCCAGGCCAAACCGGCTGGTTGCTGACAGAGAGATGTTGTAGCGTAGAAAGAGAGGTGTGAAAACAGGCTTCGGTAGTGCAACGGTTCGAGCACTCGCCTCTGAATAGGGCGAAACGTGGGTTCAAGTCTCAGCTAGCGCTAAGGTTTTGCTCATCACTCTAAAACAATGGAACTGATGGTTTATTGAATATTCACTTAATGTTATGTCTTGATATTCACTTTTTTCAAGCAAGATCACTGTAAACTTCTAATGGAGACTCTGTTGAAGTTTCAAAATTAAACTACGGTAGAAGCGACTAATCAGCGTCGATTCAGAGACAACATGACCGACGTAGTTGTACAGGATCTCGTCCATCACACGATGACTCGCATTCAGTGTCATGATCTCGTCAAAAAGGTCGCAATCTACGGTCATAAACTGGCAGTCAGTTTCTAACTCATTGTTTTTCTTGAGTTTTTTTTATTCTTTGCTATTGTTGTTGGCCGTGGACCTTGTGCAAGAGATTTTCCGTTCTATGTCAATGTCGTAACCATATTTAATGTTGATATAACAATAACCACTCAGAGTATCTTTTAACGACGGCATAAACTTGCCTCTTGAAATGGCGTGATCACTTCGGAGGTCGTTTACAATGTTACATAGTGGATGGAGTAGCAGCTATTGAGATCGTTTCAATGGGCTTTTTGGAACACGGAATTTTTTTTTCAGTTTTTGTAATCAGCTGATAGCATGTACAGTGTAGATCGCTTAATCTCTAATTTTCGGCCCAAGGCTACTGTTTTTTGAAGAAAAAGTGCAATGAAAAGTGTAATCAGTAATGAAGCAAAGAAATGTCTCTGTCCCACAATGTGGCATTCAATGTTGAGTTCGGCATCTTTTCCAAGAAGTGGTTCGCTATTTTTGGTTTTTAATGGGCATAATGACTTTTTCGTTTTGTATGAATTGAGAGGATACAAAATCATAAGATAAACCTGATAAATTTTGTAGATCAGATATGTCACTGGATTTTGAGCGTATATGATTAGATAGTAGACGAATGTTTCTATCACAACCAAACTTTCCATATATTCGAAAAACATGGGAGAATACATAAAACATGGAGTACACATGAAACAAGGAAAGCGCAGGAATTTTTCCGAGACGTAAAGTAAAATTTAGTTGCACGACGAAAATCTAAAAAGCTTTTTAAATTGTAGCGCACTGTGGCCAGTGCGACATTCATGAGGATTATAACGAATTTGAAATATTGATGTCATCTTGAAAGAACGTCACGAAAAATTAGACGTCGTCCGTTACGAAAGTTATAGAGATCTGAGGCGTCATATTTAGCGACGCACAATCTTGAGATAATCTTAGTTTGATTGTTTGGATCATAGCAGGTCTCCAACTAAGTTTCCGAACCTGGTCCAAAAATTCCAAAATTTCTTCGAAGTAATCGAAAGTATCAAATAACATTAATCAAAGTATTCTTTATCTGCCTGGATGCCATTCTGCCAACGTTTCGGCAACAAATCAATTCCGCACTCATAAAACTCATTATTCTTCGATGCAAATCAACCATTCAATTCTCGACGTAAATGATTGATGTCTCGAAATTTCTTCTCGTCCACGGCCAGTGCTCCAATGGTTTGAGGAGATGGAAATCGGACGGAGACAGATCTGGCGATACAGCGGTCAACTTCTTCCTTGTTTCTTTGGCAACGTGTCGCTTTCCACTGTCTTGAAGCAAAATGACTTGGCAACGGCGGTTACGTGGAATAGCTTGATTGCAACGGTCCAGTTGTTGACAATATCGCTCAGCGTGATGGACTGACCGGCTTGCAACAAGTCCCAATGAATCGGCCCACTTCGGTCCCAGAAAATGATCAACATTGTTTTTGGTGCAAATCGGTTTGATCTCGTTGTTGGCGTTCCTTGCTGACTTGGTGACAGCTACTGATTTGGACGACTCTGCTGGCTCTTGAAGAAGATCCACGTTAGTAGAATTGCATCCAGACAGACGGAGAATATTTCAGTCAATGTTATTTGATACTCTCGATCACTTGGAACAATATTTTTTGATTTGTGGCAGACGATTTGCATTTGAAAACTCACGTCGTGTTGCCTATCAAGCTTTATTTTGTTACATGTGTGTCTATTATCACGAGCACAATGTCGGTCAGACTCAACCCCGGGTCAACCAAACCTCTCCTTCTTTAAAAGTCGGACTGACTAATCTTCTCTGGAAAAAATTGATCTTTTCAATCCAAATGAGAACGCTCTGGCCCATCTGCAATTGCTAAACTTCTCATCCCTTCGGAGTAGGTAAATTAATACTGGACTTGTGTGAATATCACTCTCAGTGATCTCAATGGGAACGCTTTAGCTCGGCTATTGCCCGACTCCAAAGAGATTCTACGTGACCAGTATTCGACAACATGCATGGCGCATGAAAATCGTTACGCAACAGCGAATTACACACATGAAAATTGGAACACTATAAGGATATCGATGTTCAAGCAAAACTTAGAAAATGATGTCTTTTGTATGATCAAACGGCCACTGTGTCTTCCCGGAACATCGCTTCTACACGACACCACCGAGGCCCTTGCTGTGCCTTTTTTTTCAGCTGTGCTTCTCACTTTCGTGTATGATGGATGTGGGGATTGACATTCATGTACTAAGATGTGTACAGCAGATGTGGAAGACAAGCCTTGTAAAATCAACTAAGAAAGGTTCTGTATCTTGCATATGCGCCCATATTTTCGTTATGGGTAGTATTTAGTCGAGCAATTAAGGCCTGAATTCACTTCCAATAAGCTTTTGTAATTTTGTGAGGTCAATTTTATTGGTAGATGTCTCCATGGGTTTTTTAAATGTTAATGTCAATGGATCACTGTTACTCAATGGCCGAGTTAGTGAATTCAGGTGCAGCTCTCAGATCGGCTTCATATTTACCGGCAGATCAAAGGCGACGGCGAAAACAAACAACTCGAGTATACTCTCAGCGAACGCATCAATAAGGCTTTTGACTGCTCATTACTGGTAAATATTTTGTCAAGATTTTTTGATCATTTCGAAGGAAATTCGATAATTGTTGTTTTCAATAGCTTATCCCTAATCTTGCTTACACCATCTGGTTTTTTTCGTAATGTCCGCATTATTGGCCCTCAGTTCATGTCGACGTTAGTATGTTGTGTTCTGTTGAGCTGACAGTAGCATCACTGCCACTTATTAATGCGTATTTGTTAAGGCTTTGACTGGTTTATTTTCTTTCCAAGCATTTTTTGGTGGCGCCACCTTGACGGAAAAGCGCATCCTTGTACAAAATTCAAATAAAGTGAGACAACGGGCGAAAAAGGCAATAAGTCTCAATCAAAGTGAGATCGCTGAAAACTAGAAATTGGGAAGCATTTAAACATCTTGTGGACTACCTCAATAAATAGTAACTTCTTGTAATTCGTCGCGAGATGATCTCATCTCTTCTTCATTGGGTCCTTCTTGGCATTGACTCTGCTTTGATGAAATCTCGGAAGATCAGCATTAATTGGAAAAGCATGTCAATTTTTCTTGACTGAAATGAGATTTTGATTTTTTTAGTATTCCCTGCATTGATTCGGAAGCTTATCTGTATGTAGAATTGACCTTAGAGGTACTGCTTAACGTCGGATTGCTTATAGAAATACATTCAACAAAAATAAATAACTTTTGAAACTTTCAAACTTTGAAAAAACTTGAGGTACGCGCATTCAACACTCGCCTGACATTCTAAATTGTGTATATCATTCAGCATTCATGGGATATAGCTGATATTAACTTGAAAAACTATATAGTCGGGGCCCTATTTTGATCGTGTTTTGAAGCAATTCAAAGTTCTTGTTGTTTAGCGAATAAATCTCAAGGAGGAGGTTCTGATTTTCACAATGAATTTTTTTCCTACTTATCCTGGCTGCGCTCTTTTTCTCTAAAAAATTGTTAGAAACCCACTTTGTACATGTATATTTTTCTAAATTGTGACTTTTTCTAAGTGTCATCCCAATAGTGGATGGTGAATTGCAATGTTATCTTTGTATTATTTCATGTGGTGTGTTCGAATCACTTGATTCTATGCGATGAGCGCCGACTACAATGCTACGACCACAAAGGTCTCAAGCAACGAGAATGGCAACTGGACTCTGCCATACGATACATCAAAGTACGAGCTTCTCCAGTTTCTCTTCACTCCTACATGTATCAATAGTTTTCTCGTTCATTGATCTCACATCAGCGTAAATCTCTAGCTAAATATATATCACAATTTTGTGAAAGGTGGGTAACTTTCATGGAAAAACGCCTAAAAAAGTGTGTATTGATTATTTATTTGTTCAAGGCCTTCAATTTGTTCCCTGAAGTCTTCAAAATAGTTAAAATGGGGCAATGGCACTCAAATCGAAAGGCTAACCGTCGCTCAATATTCAGAATGAGCACATCATTTGCTTTTTTAAACAATCGCACCCATGAATGTACTTATAACTTTGAAAAAGTTTGTTACGAATACAGCTAATTCTGAAACACAAGGTAGGCATCTGGACTAGGCGAGTGGAATTGTCGCTTTGATTGTCACTTTCAGGTAATCGGTGGTCCACCAGGCCGAGAGACGATCCTCTTGGGATTACGCGAAGGCCAGGTATTCTTCACAGCTCTAGACAACAGCAACAGCTCGTAATTTGTTTAGGTCTGCAAGCTGTTTGTTGACAATCCATTTCCGGTACAAGTGCTCAAGTTGAATGGCCCTATCAAGTGTATAGACATAAGTGCATCAAGGTTACTATTATCATTTTTATAATTGGTCTTCTCATTGTTAACACTTTTGTTATTGTTCTTACGATTTCTTACTGATGCAGTATATCAGGGATATTAGACAAGACGCTGATCGGAACTCCTCCTTCAGCACTCTTGCAATCGAAGAAAGAACGCCTCAAGATTCTCCTCAGCTTGCTTACCTCCGAGATTGCAACAAGAATCGACTATAGAAAAATTTCACGACTTTTATAGAAAGACGAAATCCTCAGGCAGTAGACTAGGCAACACTCAGAGTAATTGAAAACATTTGTGGAGGACGATTTAAATGCAAGATGTGCCAGTATCCGCACAGCAAATTTTGCTGATGGGAGGCTAAAA